GTACACCTTTCTAAGACATTTTTGTGTCCGCGATTTTGGCTTGCGGATGGCGAATTGCGCACGCTAGATGACGTGTGTGACACTTGCTGCGAGCATCACGTCAGCGTTCGTCAGCGTCATTCTGGCGTCAATTCCTCCAATCAACGGTTTTTCTTGAAATTCACAAAACATACTCAAAGTGTACGCTGCATATTCTGCAATTATTGTGTACATATTTTACGCTTTTGGGTTTTAAGACGTGTCTTCTTGTTGCGATGACCCATTATTTGGACCTGTGGCATTTAAAAGCGGTTAAAACGGCGATCTTTATGAAGTGATGGCGTAATTGCTCGCGTTTGATGGCGTCGTGATTACACTTGCTGGCTCGCGCTTTGGCATAAAAAATCTCGGACATAATTTTGGCTTAGTGAGGCTTCTGGTCTATTTTCTATTCTGTGATGTTAGTCATGGCAACACGAATACAGGATAATTGTTTTTTAATTTTTTTTTACAAACCTTGCAAAAAATAGATAAAACTTGAACACTTTTAAATACAGAACTATCAATTTCTAAAATATATAAAGTAGGTATATTATTTTGGTTTCTATGGCCTTTATTTTAAAATTCAAAACGAAACTCTACGTAAAACGTTTTTAAATGTGAATTAAAATTAACTGCTTTTAATGAATAAATTTAATTCGTAAATAGCCGTGCGGAATTAGTACCCTCCCTCGGGCTTACGCCCGGAACGGCGCTCCGCGCCGTTGGCTCGGGGATTCATTCTAACAATAAATTAGTCTTTGATTCATAATCGATCGTGCATAGGCAGCCCAAAAATGCGTGTTGAAATTTTTTACCTCGCGCGTGGCGCTCGGGTATGCATCGAGTTTACTCAGTTAATTATTATGACATAGTCATAATAATAGTCATAACAATAAACTGAGTAGACTCGACGCAAGCCCGAGCGCCACGCGCGAGGTAAAAAATTTCAACACGCATTTTTGGGCTGCTATGGTTCGTGTAACATCTAGCGGTCTTTGCAAAGCACAAATAAACAATATACAAAAACAGATGCATACATGCAGCCTTGAGTAGTAATTACTGACTGAACTAGAATTTTGGCCCCTGGGTATGCCCGTTAGGAGAGAACACTGATACGACAAAAGTAGCACATATAATAACGAAAACGCATCATAAATTAACAATTGACGCATAGAACAATCGCAGTGGCCACATTAATACCAAAATGTTTGTATTTAAATAAGCCGCATAGTTTCAAAAATGTTGATAACTTCAACTGGTTAAAATTTTGCGCTTTCCGTTTCAATACTCTCCACCAAATTGCCGATTTCTTTCTCTTTTGTTAAAACAAATTTCTGTTGACTGTAGTGCTTGCTTCATCAATGTTATTTTATAAAATGAAGCAAGATACACAAGGTAAATTATTTTTTCCAGGCTTAATAATATTGCGAGATTATTCGGTGTTTCTTGCCATTAAGAATACATTCAAATATTTTTTGAATTATTTTCGACCTCATACAATATATATACAGAAATATCAGATACATCTCAAAACAACTTTTCACACTGTTGGGTGCTTCATAGAAATTTAATAATTTAATAATCCCCGAGCCGACGACGCGAAGCGCCGTGCGAGGGTACTAATTTCCCCCGGCTATTTACACCCGGGGAAACGAAAGCATTAGCCAAATCTAAAGTTCATTAATGAGCGCGGGCGTCGGTCACCAACGATGTTGAGTGGGTGATCATCCTCACTGATCTCAAAAATATGGCTGATGCGTGAAGGAGTGGGATAAGCAAGATTTCAATTTTAAAAGACATATATTTGGAGAATCGTTTCATAAACAACAAGCTAGAAGCAATTTTGTTTGAAGAAATGAGAAGAATTGATTTACTAGGGGAAATCGTGAAATATACGGCAAGTTTGCTTTGAATATTTAATGTTTACAAATTTTGTTGATTTAAATTCTTGCCTAAAAACATGAACTGTTTTCCGTTTCAACGAAGCTCTAAGTTTCATTAATAATTCAAGCACGTTAGGTGAAAGAATAGCCCGAAAATAAGTAAAACACACACCAAATCATTGTGGGAGAATGGGTTCAGGGTGAAGTGAACCAATTATATACATTATACTCTCAAACTCTGGTCAACCCAAAGACTCATTAAGCCTTATGTTTTCATCCCGCAGGCGTATATATAAGACCTGCTAGGAGAGACTGAATGCTCCATAGGAGCTCTGCCCGAAGGGTAGCGACCCCCTCTGACATAGACCTGAACCAAGGGGTGATAATCCCCTTGGACAGTACCTACGATTCGACTGATTATATTTACATAAATAACCTGAGTCTATGGGTAAATTTTCTTTCTCGGTAACAAGACATTGCTCTTTGTTGGGATATTTCTCAAAGTGAACTCCCTTATCACATTGACCTTTGTTCTGCGTGTTCGTTGTTGACATGTGATTGGTCAGTTGATCTTTCATTCGGTTTTACACATGCCCAGAGAAACATTTGAACTTTGGACTATTGGATATCGCCTTTTTGTGGCTGTTGACAAGCTTATCCTGTTACTATATGAGATTATAACCAGGTTTGAAGGTGACAAACGTGTTGTCTCATTAACTTGAATTTATATATTGTTATATATAAATTTGCTTAAATTACCGTTTAATTTGAGAAAAATCTCAAAATGTAAAGGAGAACAAATTGATTTGAAAACTGAACTGAAATTACCTAACAATTTGTTTTATTTGTATTAAACTTATTATATTTTATTATAAAGTAAAAACAGTTTATCGTCAAATGTAGTTTAGGCCACTACAAGTTAATCTTTCGTTTCTGGTCCGACCTTACCTTCGTTTACGACGCGAGCGGGCGGTTGGTTAGGACTATAGGACATAATTACAATTGTGGCTTTGCCCACATTTTTGTGGTCTTTCTTGTCCTTTAATTTTCATGCTAATTGTATCAAATATTATGAAATTTTACATAAATTGCATTTATATTATTTATAAATCGACATGTATGACAGATTACAAAGGATTTTACATATCAAAATGGATCTATTAATATTTCTAGTTTTTTTTTACCTCGTAATATCGATAAGGCAGCGGTTTTTACCATTCAATTCTACATTTTGCTCGGTCTTTTTGGTGTAAATTGAATATTTATCGTTCTATAAGTTAAATCCTTCGCGAAAAATTTCAAGAACTAGAAATTGATTGTAAATAACAAAATAGTCCTGAAATAATACTTTACGGAGAAAGAACGCGGGCGGCGGATCAGAAACTAAAGATTAACTTGTAGTTGCCTTAGTTGAATGAACATTTCAAAACATTTTACGAAGCGTTTCAAGTTAAATTTTACATTAAATCAAAGCTCACAAAATGCAAATAATATACCAACAGTATATATTTCGGAAATTTATTGTTGTATAGTTAAAAGTACGAATCTTTCAACTATTTTGCAGTTTTGTACAAAAAATATGAAGATTAAAAATTTAAGAATATCGTGTTGTCATGGCAACATTTGAGCGCGAGCCTGCGTTCAGTGTTGGCCATTTCTGAATACTTCATGTTAATTTAATGTTTGGAAAATATTGGCGAGGGGTTACTGCATGGATGTATTTCTAGTTTAATACGTTGCAAATGTCAGTGTCGGTAACACAACTTGATAATTCTCGATAACACGCTCACGGCCAAACCTCATTCAAGAATTGTTAAATATTAGTGACACAACCAAATCAACTAGTCCTATGGTGTTATATTACTATAAATAAATGCTCAGTAAAAGTTCAGTACATTACTATTAAGACTAGCAGGTTTATCCGATGTCCGAAAAAATTATGAAATCAGTGTTTTCATCATATAATGTATCCTTAATTCAACAAACTGTCCGTTTTTTAGTTTCAAACAAATATCAGAAAATATCTAAAAATTAAAGCAAAAAGAATTCAAGGAATTTCAAATACTTTTTTGTAAATTCAAGGATTCTCAAGGACTTTCAAATTTTGAAAGTTCAAAGGGTTGGGGAGAAATACAGGAAAGGCAAACCCTGCCACCCATTAGACCGTCATATCATAACACCATAGTACAATGTGCCATAGTTCCCTAGAACTGTACTACCATAGTCCCTAGTTCCATAGTAGCACCATTTAACAATTATTTTCCGAAGGCGAGGTGATTATCGGGAATTGTTTTTTACACAAGTCTTTTGTGTTTTTTTGGGAATGATTTGTTTTAATTTCGCTTATTTCTTTATCAATAACTTCCACAAAACGGCTAGCCGCCATTTTGCAACGTTCGGTTTTGTTATATTCACGTGTACGTGAATATAACAGCTTAATACGTCAAATGTGACCAATCAACTTGTAGGATTTGTTATATTCACTTGTGCAAAAATACTAAAATGTCATAGCACCGTAGTATTATAATATTGTACTATGGTATTACGGTACTAAGGTAATATCAGTGTCATGACCATTTTTTCTGGCCTGTCTGTCTGTCTGTCTGTCTGTCTGTCTGTCTGTCTGTCTGTCTGTCTGTCTGTCTGTCTGTCTGTCTGTCTGTCTGTCTGTCCGTCCGTCCGTCCGTCCGTCCGTCCGTCCGTCCGTCCGTCCGTCCGTCCGTCCGTCCGTCCACCAGTGGACCAGCATTTCAGAATATCAGCATTTCGTTAAATGCTTTAACCACAAAATTTTGTTGTACCCTTTAAATTTTAAATTGAACCATCTTTAAATTTTGCAAGACATATATTTTAATACGAAATGAGAACAATTTTAATAGTCAAACAATATGTTTGTGATGTTACTCTGAGTGTATATCCACACCGGGCGAGCTTGAAAAATATGCCCGGCCACGGTGGGAATCGAACCTACGACCTTTGGAATGCTAGCCCAATTCTCTGCCAACTGAGCTACGTGGTGAGGTTGCTTCGAGTAAGTGATATTTCGGAACAGAATCTAGTTCCTTCGATACCAATGCAATCTTGCAATATGATTTTTTTTCTGTGCTGGTGTTGTGTACTCAGGTGAATATGATGTTAACATCACAAACATATCATATTCACCTGAGTACACAACACCAGCACAGAAAAAAAAAATCAAACAATAGTTTTTCCAAAGCCTTCGCTGGTTTTGCACTCAGTTCCTTTGATTTAATATTCCCAAGGGTGAAAAAATTCTGTACATTATATTAAGATACTGTATATACATGCATGCTGCAACCGCCCCTCGCCTATATTTTCCAAACATTGAATTAACATGAAGTATTCAGAAATGGCCAACAGTGAACGTAGACCCGCGATGTTCATTCAACTAAACCCTATTTTGCCGATATTAAACTGTTTTTACTTACTTATAATGTATCAGTCAATTCCAGCAGTGCCTATCCCCCCCGGGCCACCCCCGGGCCTTCGCAGCTTTCCTAATCCCGGGGGTGTGGCCATTTCCGAAATTTTTCAGCGGGGTGGGGACGTAGACGTTTTCCATCAATAGTACAAACTAGGGATCCAAGGATAGTGTGAAGTTTCAAATTGAAAAAGTCACTGCAAGAACTGTATCAATTACAGTTACATGTCTTATTTACAGTATTTCAGCACCACTTTCGGAGCGACAGGATTGCGTTGCAGATCGGAAGAACAATTGCCTCGTGCGAGTCGTGACACATGACCTACAAGGCTATAGGCTAAGCTAATACTATTATAATCCCTCATCTTTGGTTGTAGCCTCACGTTTCACACGAGTTGTGGACAGCTGTAGTATTTTTATTAACTATGCTGTAAGCAAACAAAATGTCGAATGGGAGACAATTCTGTATTTCGCTATTTAATGTCTGTAATCAGGTTTACATGAATCTTCGTGACAGAAGATATTATTAACGTTAGTGCGTCAAAGAATCAGTTCGCATATTAGTATAGTCTATAGCTTTTGTCTTTTTGATATCAGGAGGTGACAGTCGATAACCAGTCTACGTCATTTGAAATGTTTATTTCTTGCCATATATTTTCGTTTCTTGTTGGTTGAATGATGATCGTGGCTTCAACGTAATATGTTTTTCTTCTCTTTTCTCTCAGTTCAGATCACACATTTAAGTTAATCATGGGCGTTGTGCAGTTCTCTTGTAATTTCACTGTGATGACTGACAGTTCACAATGTATGGTTGGGATATGTGCTGGCTTCATGTTGTTGCTATTGGTGCGAACTTGGAAGTCGGTAATTTCCAAATTGTTAGCCACACTTTGAGGGTTGTATATTTGAGGTTCCTATAATCTTCATTCAATATGGTCATGATGTCACTAAAACAAGGATGAAAAGAAAATTAAATGAGTACAAGAATACTGTAGCTATATACACAGTGTCGTAAATTGCGAAGGGAGTCATTTAAAAATATATAAAATTCATTAAAACTCACCTTCTTAAAGCTTTGGAGTCACAGCGAGACTTCTTCTGCCGCTATAGTAAGTAGCGACGTTGACCCCTCGGAAATCGAGGGGGTAATCCAGTGGTGTTCTAGAGATCTAGTCAGCACTGGGTCTGAGTCCATTTGAGTTGATAAAAGATTTTGTGGCTATGAATTGATTGTATATGACTCTATATCACTATGTTCTGATATGTTCTATTAAACATTGTATCTTTGTTCTGATTTCTAAGATTGTTCTGACTTGAAGATTAACTTGAAGCTTGTCGATATTGGGATGCAGTTATTTGTAGTTTATACGTACAGTAGCTATATTAAATTTTAACTTCTTGAACTCTTCATTTATTTATTAATAAAAAATATCAAATAAGTGTCACGAAAATAGGCTTATGGTCGCTAAAGTACGATTCTAAAACACCACTACTTTTTACTCTTTCAGGGATATTAGTGTATATGTGATCAATTTGTGTTTTATAGTCAGTCGTCACTTGGCTAATAAGTTGCACGTATTGCTTTTCTTCGATTAAATATTTAGAAAGTGTATTTTTGTCGGATGCATTTTCAAAAAGGTTAACATTAAAATCACCAAGGATGATAACAGGAGTATTTGGATCATTTATATACGTGGAGTGCAAATGTTTTAAAGCATCTACGAACATTGAAATTTTTACTTTTGATTTAGAGCGATAAATTCCTACAACATGTAAATTATTGACTGGTTGGTTTACTTTGAGTAATGTCATTTCTACATGATTATAGTTGCACCTTGAAGGTTCTAAGATGAGTTGTATATTGTCTTTTACGTAAGCAGCAGTTCCGTAAGGTGTTCTAGTACCATGTGGGATGAAGTCATTTCTGAATAGTCGAAATCCTGGAATCTGATACAATTCATTGTTGTCATTACTACATAGAGCAGTTTCCACAAATATATTAATATCTGCTGCTTTTACATTATAATCACTCGCAACGTCAGCAACGTGAAGATGTAATGATCTCACATTCTGGAATAATATTTTAAATGTCTCACTAGTATCTTTATAGAGAAATGGAAGATGACTTTTAAGTACAGAATTTTGTCTTAGTCTTGTCATTTCTTCTTGTACCTTCCTGCTCACAGCTATTTTCTTTTCGTTCAGATTAAGAATATGTAATCCCAAAATGCTTCTAAGTCTGCTAAGAGCAACGTAATGCATATGCTCTCGCTTTAACGATGGAAGGTCAACAACCGCTTCATTTAATGTATCTCCTTGACAACGGTGAATAGTTTTGGCTGCAGATGGTCTTAAAGGAAACTGTCTGCGAAGAACTTGTATTTTATTTTTTGTAAACTGTCTTTTTACCTCAAGAATTGGAACCCAATTTTTTTCTATACTTTGATTGTAAAGATAAGAGTATTCTCTGCGATAATCATTCCCAATATGTTGTTCTTGAAATAAAACCCAGATAATACTTGGTCTTGATGAACCTTCTACTCGGTAATCGATTTTCTTGATGATACATTCAGCACCATTAGTCATACCATCTAAAACTGACACGTTTGTCGTGAGGTCATATTTTGCTTCCTTAAGTATTGAACATACTGAGTACAAGCCCATGGTTTTCGAAGGATCGTTTGGGATTTGTTTTTTGAGTCTTTCTTTTAAGTCGTCAGATAAATCTCCAAGTACAATGTCTATTGCTTTAATGTCGACCTTCTCGTTTGAAGATTTCTGGAAAACGTCATGATTATGTTGATCAACTGCCATATTAGTACTGAATAAATGGGTTAAAGATATTGGATAATCAGGATGTTGTGGACTAATGTTTAAAATTCTTTCTTTCAAAACTTCAATGTCAGCTTCAGTATGATTTCCTTCTCTTATACGATTTAAAATTTCAGCAAATTCTTTGTCTTCCCTTTGTCTCATAACCTCAGATAATTCAAACATTTGAAAATATTTTTGCCAGAGATTTGTTGCTAATGCAGCATAACCATCCTTTGAATTCTCAAATATCCAATTATCGAACACGGGTTTCAGTTGAAATAAGTCGCCAACTGTTATTATGCTAAGACCGCCAAATGGTTCTTTTGTACCCATGATTTGTTGCAATCGTAAGTCAAGAAAATTAAACATAGCACTTCCTACCATAGATATCTCGTCAATAAAAATAACTTGCATTCTCTGTAACTGAGATCTTATTGTATTCAATCTGTCTCTATCTAGTGTACAATAATTGAATCCTCTGTTTGCAGGAATTTTAAAGGCGGAATGAAGTGTATTTCCTCTTATGTTGAAAGCAGCTTTGCCTGTTGGGGCTACTTTTACAACACTGACATCATCAGGATCATTCTGAGGTTGAGAATTTAAGTATCTTATGAGAGCTTCATACAAAGCATTAGTGACAGTACTTTTACCTACACCAGCACCTCCGCTTAAAAACAGTCTCATTGGCAGCTTATCAGTTTTGACAGAGTTCAGTACATGGTAAAAAAACTCTTTTTGTTCAACATTAAGTGATTGAACAAGTTTTCTAAAATCGGTATCACTCAGTCTTTTTACAACAAGTTCTTCATCATCATTTGTTCGTGGATATATACCAATATCATTTATCGGGTCGTATCGTATGTTGTTTATCTTTTCCAGGATCGAAGCATCCGAATAATTCACTTGCTTTTGGCCCAATTTCTCTGTCTTGTTCATCTCTATACTGCGTATTCGGAGCGACTAAATTTTCTTCACTTTCAATATCTTGTACTGCCTGATCAAGAACTTCGTGTGATTCTCGTATTGTTTTCTGTTTTGTTCTATCACATCTTTGATAATTTCATATCGATCCTGGTAAGTTTCAAAGTCTTTCAGAAGA